AGTGTATTCAAACTGAAAAGGGGGCAGTTCTACTCTATCCTGTAGAAGTGCTGAGTCTGCTTTGAGCCATTCTTCAAACTCATTGCCCCGGAGTCAATTCTGACTCCTGGTGACCCTATAGCACCCAAGGTAAAATTGCTCCCATCAACTCTGTACAGGAGAAATTCTTTTCCTCAAGCAGAGCAGCTGGTAGTGTTGAACTGTAATTTTGCAGTTAACAGCCCAACACAAAACCACTAAACCACCAGGGCAGCCGATCTAAAGGAGTGGTTCTCAACCTTCCTAATGCCGTGACCCTTTAATAGTTCATGTTGTGGTGACCCTACCAACCACAAAATTATTTCCGTTGCTACTTCATAACTGTCATTTTGCTGTTATGAATCAGGTAGGTGACGCCTGTGAAAGGGCCGTTCCACCCCCAAAGGGGTCGAGACCCATGAGTTGAGAAACGCTGATCTAGAGTAGAGAGCTAATAAAACTGAATACAGCTTCCCAATCTTTATCATGGCAAGCACAGCATTTGTACAGCCTAGACTGCTCTGGGCTGGGATTGAGAAGCCCAGATTCTCAGCTGCCCATAATACCAACTCATGGGGTGGGGAGGAGCACTCTTAAACATCTAGATCCCATTCTAAGCAGGGTTGGGATGCTCTGATAGGAAAACAAGGGCCAAGATCAAAGGCACCAGGAATTAAAAATTAAGTCTGAGGCAACCAGTTTCTCGAATGCTACACCTGCTAAAGGAAATGTTACCTCTGGTCATGTCATCATAGTAGCATACTAAAAACATGACCATCATCAGTCTCTTAAGGGCCAGGTTTATAGTGTTAAGTGGCCTGAGCTGACAATCCAGCTCAACACTTGAGTTGACACAGCAATCCCAAGATCAAGTTCTAAAAGGAGACCTTTTTTTCCTTCCTGAAACAAATTCATGCAGCATACCCGGAGGTTTTTGTATCCCTCATACTCGGTGTACACATTACACGCCACTGCGAAAGTCTTGCAGCACCAGAGCCCAGCTGATTGAGATTCAGTAGACACAGAGGTTTTGGAAAACATAAAGCCATGGATCTGAGGTTTCACATGGGAAATGCTGCACTTTACATGGGTACATACACTATCAGTTCATTGTGCTGTGGTGGTTGGCTTGTGTGTTGCCACACACTATGGCACCAGAGTGTCTGATACCAGAATGCCCTATCAAGGAGCTTCCAGATAAGAACTAGAAAAATGAGGCAGCCCACTTCTGAGGTATTAGCTACTAAAAACCTGTTTGACAAATGGTTGAGAATTGAGCAGCTCTGCTTGGAAGGCACGCAAAATAAAACTGAGGAAGGTCTGCCTCCTCAAGTAGATTGACTTTAATGATGTAGATGGAGCAAAACTTCTCAGACCCTCATGTGCTGATGAGGCACAATTCAAAGATAGCTGCAAACACCCATTAATAATCAGAACTCGGAATGTACAAATCATGAACCTAAAAAATGGAAGTCATAAAAAATAAAAGTGTATGAAGACCAATATCCTAGCACTCTCAGTCACCGACTCAAAATTGACTCTTAACAACCCTTTACGACAGGGTAGAACTGCTCTTGAGTTTCCGAGACTAACTTTACGGAGGAGCTGCTGGTGGGTTTGAATTGCCAACCTTGCTGATCAGAGCCGAATGCACACCAGCCTGAAATGTACTGTATAGGATATTTCCAATCAAAATCATGGCTTATCATGCCAGCGACAACACATTCCAGAGAAATGGTGTTACTTTCAACCGCAAAGAACGTCTCAGGCTTTTGAAGTACAATGCTGCGATAGAACAATATCCATATACCTACACATCAACCAACGACAACTACTACTAACCAACACACCAACCAATTCAGAAGTCAGTAAGTACTGATATTTACAGGTGATCTGAATGTCAAAGTTGGAAACAGTAAAGATCAGTCCTTAGAAAATATGCTCCTAGTGATAGAAAAGCAGGCGATCATGATAGAAATGTTGCAAGATCAATTAAAGAAGATCCATGAAGGCCAAGTCTTACACACGTCCCACCAGATTATGATTGAAGATCAAATTGTAGGCCCCTAAAAAGAACATCATACATGAAAAAAGGTCATTAAAATGACAAGACCAAAGTGATGTCAGAGGAATCAGAAAGTAAATGGAAGAAATGACATAGAAGGACTGAATTGGAAATTTCAAAAGGCAGCTCCAGATGACAAAGAATTATAATGAAAGGTGCAAAGATCTTGGGCTAGAAAACCGAGAGTACACTCAACACATTATCAAGGTGAAAAAACTGACGGAAAAAAAGCCATGCTTTAGGTTGCAATACTGATTTCTATGGGCAGAATGCTGAATGTCGCGGAAAGCATCAAAAGGCAGGAATTGGAATGAGCCTAACCTCTTTCATTGCCATGGAGCAGGCTCTGGCTCAGTGACCACAGAACAGGGTAGAGCTGGCCCTGTGCATTTCTGAAACTCTATTGGAGAAGGCGACACACCCCCCTCGCCCCCACACCCCAAGACTGCTGACCTTGAAGTTAGCAGCCCGTTAACCACTACATCACCAAGGCTCGTGTAAGGGCTAAGCGGTCTGTTTTAATGAAGGACCTATGGTCTGTGATGGCAGAAGACCAAACCGAGTCATTATACGTTTGCTTCTGTGACGCACATAAGAAGGGCAGAACAGCTTTCATTTTCTATTTGGCTCCTCCTTCAGTTCCTTTCGACCTTGCACATTTTCCCTTAGGAGTAATCATTGGACGAACATTGGAAACAACGGTTTCCAAATAAAATTGACTGGTTAGCCAAAATCTTCAAAGATCTCATAGCTTTTCAGTTCATCACAAAACCACGATTGCCTATAAGCACCTGACTCCCTAGCAAGCACGCACCATCGCTGAGATACTCTATTGTTCTCCTTGGCATCAGCCCTTAAGGCACTAAGAATCTAAATAGAATACGATGGGTAAGGTGGTTCACAATTTATCACTAGCATTTCCCCCACAAACAGTAAATTTGAGGAATTGCTCAAACAGTGCTCTTTTTGCTAGCAAATCCAAGCCTTTGCCCCTGCATCCCTATCTCACTGCCCTCCCACCCCCACCCCCAATCTACAAGCACACTGCTGCAAAGTGCCCCGCCACCCAAAAGGTGCAAATGCCTTATTCTACAGCAGCAGTTCTCAACCTGTGGGTTGCAACCCCTTTGGGGGTCAAATGACCCTTTCACAAGAGTCGCCCAATTCACGACAGCAGCAAAATTAGTTATGAAGTAGCAACGAAAATAACTTTATGGTTGGGGGTCAAATTGGGAAGGTTGAGAACCACTGTTCTACAGGATCCTCACTCTTCCAGCTGCAGCTCAGATGCCTCCACCAATTGCTCCCCTCTGATCCCAAGGGTCCCCGCATGTATTGATCTGTGTGCGCCAGCAATGCTCTTTCACGTGCCAGGTGCTTTTCTCTGGGCCTATTCAATCTCGTTACCTTACTTTAAGAGCACAGATAACATCAGGAAGGAGTACTTTCTCTGTGGCAATCGTATACCTGCGGAGCTAATTAACCTAGCAAAGCGCTGCCTCCTTTGTCCTGGAGTTGAGACCACGCCCTGGAAAGGTGTGTCCCTAACACCTGAAGCTAAGACTAGAACCCAAGTTTAAAACTTACTCCACAGCAGGTCTTTCTACATGAAACTAACTATACGATGGATTTTCAGTTTTACATTATGAAATAGTATGCTAACCATTTAAAAAAATGACTTGTAGCTCACGGCCCACGCAGCAGGCAGCAGCCCGGATTTTGCTCACTGGCCTGAGCGCCTGGCGCAGAAGAGCAAAACCGAAGCGGATGAGAGCACAGCTACAAGAACATGTTGGCCGGATGCTCCTGGTTAGGGAGTCAAATAAGACTTGGATTAGTACTCATTCCTGAAAGTGCTGGCTTTGATTGGTATTTTGAGGTCGTCTATAAAGGTTCTCCTGCCAAATCCCATAGCCCCTCCACTTGTAACCTTTGAACCTCAACCTAAATTCTCTCAGGTACCCTGCCCGTGTTTGCGGACGAGCAGAAACAAACTGCGCGTGAAGATCTAGAGCAGCGGGTCTCAACCTGCGGGCTGCCACCCCTTGGGGGCCAAACGGACCCTTTCACAGGGGTCGCCAAGACCATCGGAAAACAAGTATTTCACCATATATAATTACATATTGTTTTGTGATTAATCACTATGCTTTATTTATGTTCAATTTATAACAATGAAAATACATCTTGCATATCATATATTTACATTACGATTCGTAACAGTAGCAAAATTAGTTATGAATTAGCAACGAAAATATTTTAATGGTGGGGCCCACCACACCATGAGGAACTGTACTAAAAGGCCGGGGCATTAAGAAGGTTGAGAACCACTGGTCTAGACACAGTGAAGCGATCCGGTTCCTGGCTTATTACGTAACTCCTACTTTCACTGATTACCACAGGAAACAGAAGCGCTACACAGCACTGCACTTTTCTAATCTCAAGCTTGATGTGGCAGTCACTTAAAAAATGAGAAATGCAATACTGAATATATTGAAAATATTTTATAATCGATTTTCTAGAATCCTAGCCATCTAGTACAGGAGAAAATTATGTTTTGGAACACTTCAGTTATTTAAACAGTGAAAGAAATATAGGACTAGAGGAGGGCAAAAGGAATTAACAATAACGTAGATTTCCTCACATTTTCCATGGAGCAACTATAACAATAAAAACATTTTAAGAAATAGATGACAGAATACCTAACATGTCAAATTCCAGAGTCAGATAGCCACGTACATAAAGAGATTTAGCAAAATGGTCTGTAAATTAAAGTAACGGCAAAAGGTCACCAAAAAAATCCTATTTGTTTAATAGCGTCTTTAGGTCTATCAGGAAACCAAGAGCAAGGGAAAGAAGAGCCAGATCTTGGCGCCCGCGGGCTGTCTTCGGGTCCATCCCACCACCTGCAGTTCTGCTGTCCAAGGACAAGGCTCCCGGCCATCACGTCTGCGGTTGCCGCTGCTGCCTTCCTCTGCCCCTCCCTTCTGTAGGCTGTCCATGTGCTCTGAGCACTGGGGGAGGGGCGTGCAGAAGGGAATAAATGAGTACTCCATCATCTGAAATGCCATCCTTTCCTTCCCAGTCCTCTGCCTCGAAGGACGAACATACACATTCTCATGTTTATTCGCCTGAGACATTATGCATGATTTGTTGTAAAACATACAGGTAATCATACAGTTCAAAAGTTGATCAAGTTTATGGAACAAACACATGAAAAATTAAACTACATGATAACATCGTGGGGGAACGCATGGTCTCACTCATTTTTGTGACAGGTTACTTCGTGCATGCTGTAAAGCTTAGAAATCATCACCACTCTGTGCTAAGAATACTGAAACATTATGCAGGGAAACTGTGCAAGTTCATTTTCTCACTACTGGACGTTAAGGGAGAGAACATTTCCGTAAATAGCCTTACTATTCAGGCATAAGAAATGTCAATGAACAAGCAGACAACTGCCCCATTATGCACAAATAACAGCAACAATGAAGGCGAATCAGAAGGAAAAGATAATCAAATAAAAACCAACATTGCTATGATATTTCATTTAATGTCACACCTTGATTGTATATTTTCCAAAGTACTTTTCTAGATCCATTTCCCAATCCTTTCTGAACGCTTTACTGGTATTTTCAATGCAATAAAGGATGTAGGATATGGTTCCATCCACATTTCTTTGTGAAAGCAATATAATACTAATGATTTTAATGGCCATACATTCTTATGTAATAAAGAAAAACAGTTTCAAATTCCATAAACCTAGTTTTGAAACATTTGTATCCATTTTTCACCCAAATCAGCACTTTGTAGGTTCTAAAAAGGCGGCAGCAGCTTGAATTCACGGCCTGCTGAACACACGTTTCTGCTGAAGGAGGGGGGAGAGACGGAGAGCGTTCGCTGCATTCCCATTGGCCCCAAAGTGCTCATTCCACAAAGGGATACATCAAAAGCAAACATGCAAGGGCTGTTTAAAACTTTTACTGCAATATAGCAACGAAGTAAACAGTAATTAGACACTATAAGTTTCTTCCCCCCAAACAAAAAAATGTAAACAGGAAAGTAACTCTGCTTATACTTGTACAGCTTCTCAAATTATGTTAGAAGGTTCTCACATTCAACAATCAAGAAATTTTAAAATAGCAGTAATTATTTTCATTTGAAGAAAAAGGCTCCCCTTCTCCCAACAAGCATTTAATAGGAAAGAAATGGTATTTAATTGTATACTTATTTGAAGCAGCAACAATAACCATCAATAATTTGGCATATCTGTTAGAAGTTGCTCCAAAATTTTTTTCAATGTCACAAAGCCATTATCCAGTGTTGCCATGAAATAAACTGTAGATTCTAGGTAGCAAAGATTCTTTCTGATACCAATGCTAAGTCAAAGAAATCCAAAGCAGGGCATTACACTAAATTTCTGGATCTATTACACTAAGAAGAGTGAAACCTAGGAAAAATTACCTACTGTTTTAGAGAAGAAATAAAGACCTGCAAAAGCTGACTTTTTGGTTGTATAATATTTTATACATGGTGTGGATTTGCGGCATCTGCCAATTTAAGCAGACATGCACTGTATTTATCCCTGCCCTAAATCCTATGTCCCTCCCTCCCCACCCCAACCATCTACTACCTTATACCAAGTACTGTGGATATGAGCCCAGATCATCCCAGACAATCCAGTGAACAAAGTTAGTGTAATGCACTGGTGTGAAGTGTGAGATTAAAAAAAAAAAAAAGAGTCCCTTTCAATCTTCATCAAAGTTTTGCTGTAGAAGAAAATTGGCAGCCAAATTCTCATTCTTCTCACAAGCAAAATATGCTTGTATCACAAGTCCTTCAGGAAATCCTAATGCCTTTAACTGGAAGAGAAGAGAAAAAATATATAAATCCAACTCATCAATTATGGCACATTTCATTTTCTTTACCTATTAGGGATCCTAACATAGGATCACTAACAGACAACACTTAAATATCTAACACAAAGGACATACAGACCTCTTGAGAATTCTGAAAGAATTCATTTCTATCTGTACAGGGATACTGTCCAATCGGAAAAAGCTAGATGAAACCTAGAACCTTTCTTATTAACAATGGCAAGTTACAGTTCCCACTTACAGATAGTTATCACTTTCTCTGACATTTACACTAAAATTTAGTTGCTAAATGTAGTTTAAAAATAGATGATCCTAAGGGGAAAAAAAATAGATGATCCTATCCATATATTTATGGACAACTGATTTTCAACTAGACAATTCAACATGGGAAAACTATTTTCAACAAAAGGTTAAGACACGTGGCTATCCACACAAAAGACTGAAGCTGGACCACTGATAGCGCATACAGAAATTAAGCCAACGAGAATCATAGATCTAAATGTAAGGAGTAAAATAATAAACTCTTAGGAGAAAACCTAGGAGTGACTCTTTGTGACCTTCGACTAGGTAATGATTTCTTTGACATGAAACTTTTAAAACACCAACAAAAATAAACCAAACCTCATTAAAGCTAAGAACATCTGTGAAAAGCACTTTGTCCAGAAAACGAAGCCCTAACAAACACAATGGAAGAAACCAGTTGTCAGCACACTGTTTCAGGAAATAGCGTATGAGCAAGAACCAATACTGCTGGAAAAAAGTTAAAATGGCACCAAACACATTAGCCAAAAACAGTGCCAGGGATGAATGGAATTACCAATCAAAATGTTTCAGCAAGCTGATGAAGCACTTTAAGCACTCACATTTCTATGCCAGGAAATGTGCACAAGTAGAATTTTGCTGAAGTTCATCCAACAATGGTTGCAGTAGTCCATTGACAGGTAACTAACTGACAGAGGTTCAGGCTGGATCCAGAAGATGTGGAGCAAGGGCTATCATTACTCATGTCAGATGGTTCTTGACTCAAAGCCGAGAATACCAAAATATGCAAAGGCATTAGACTGTGTGGACCAAATATACTATGGAAGATCTTGAGAAGAATGGAAATTCCAGGACACTTCACTGTGCTCATGAGGAACTTGTACATGGATCAGAGGCAGTTGTGCAAACAGAACATGGGAGTACCCCATGGTTTAAAATCAAGAAAGGAGGGTCTCACTGTTGTATCCTCTCACCATACTTATTCAATCTGTGTGCTGAGTGAGCAAATGATCATCAGAATCTGGATTAGAGGAAGAAAAATTGGAGGACGCCTTATTAACTCTGCAAATGAACATGACACAACTTTGCTTGCTGAGAGTGAGGACTTGAAGCACTTGCTGATGAAGATCAAGGACTGCAGCCTTCAGTGTGGATTACAACTCAATGTAAGGAAGACCAAATCCTCACAACCCAATCAATAGGTAATATGACAAATGGAGAAAAGGCTGAAGTTGTTAAGAATTTTCTCTTACTTGAATCCACAATCAATGCTCGTGGAAGCAGCAGTCAAGAAATGAATATTGCATTACGTAAATCTGATCTGTCATGGTAGAAGTATAGCCAGAGTGCTCCTTAGAAGCAAGGATTATAAGACTGCCGTCTCACATGCTGTCAGTAGAGAACAGTTCCCGGAGAAAGGAGGATATCAAGCCCCATTTACATCGGGGCTGTGACAATGGGCTCAGAAATAGGAATGACTATAAGGCTAGGGCAGGGCAGGGCCGAGCAGGGTTTCATTCTGTTGTGCGTGGGACATTATGGGTCGGAACTGACTCGATGACACTTAAGAATATCATATGCAGAAACCCAATCATTTATTAGTAAGTCAGAATCGACTTGAGGTTAATGAACTTTTCCCAAGTCCTTTCATAACTGCCACACAAAATTAATAAACAAAAAAATAAGTGATCATATATGTATGTGTGTGTGTGTGTGTGTGTGTAAGTGTAAGGGCTCTTAGCATATAAGGTAAGATAAAAATATGAGCACCAAAAAATTTTTTAAAGACATGAGCACCAAGAGGAGTTTGACTGTGACTTCTTAATTATCTGTAAAGCAAGTCATGTCTTTCATTAGAATCAAGTATTGGTCTCACTTTCCTTGCCTCATACATTTTGTGAGGAGCCCTGGTAGCACAGTAGGTATGAGTTGGACTGCTAACCTCAAGGTCAGCAGTTCAAAGTCACCAGCCTGCATCCCTGCTGGGCAAAGACGAGGCTCTATACTCCTGTAGAGTTACCATCTCGGAAATCCAGAGACTCTTAGAGGGGCATCATCAAGAGTTGGTATCGACTCAATGTCAATTATAAAATGGATGACTATTAGTACTGCTATATTTTTGTTATTCTATTTTTTTCCTTAGTTTTTTTAATAGTATTTTAAATTATAACAGTCACTAATATAACTTTCTGAGATTATTTAAAAAAACATTTGTGGTTCAATAATCACTACTCTGAAAAGCCTTAAAACATTCAGGCCAATTATCTAATTCACTAAGCACTATGTATTTTCGGCCAAAGGAATATGGACACACACCACTCACTAGTCCCAACCTAGTTCAACCTTGCGTTTTCAGATGACAATTAAAAACAGGATAAAAAGTAAAAAACACAAAATTTAGTCCAGGTTAGAAGTGAGTATCTAAAGTAAATGATGGATGGGACAGGATCCAACAACTATATGCTTACACAATGTACACACTTCAGATTCAGAAATACAAACCATGCAAATGGCAACCAAAAGCATGTTGGAGTGGGCACACTGGAATCAAAATAGACTTTAAGATAAAGACTGTTACTAGGGAGAATGGCTCGAAGACAGGGCTGGGCAATGTCCAGCTCCCACTAAGCTCCTCAAATCCCCAATACTGGTCAGCATCACGTGCCTCGCCAGAGAAGCAGTTCGGGCCCTCACAGTAAGGGGGAGTGAATTTTACACGCGACAAGTATGGCCCTCGGCAGAAAAAAGGTTCCCCTAGCCTGCTCTAAGGGTAGGCATTTCCTGGTTCCTTCAGATCCTTTCCTGGTTCCTCAGAGAGAACTCCATCTGGCTGGCTATCAACCTTCCCCTTCTCAGCTTGCTGGCTGGTCTATTTCATCTACTTTCCAATCCGAGATTGAGCAAAAAGACACCAATCATGCCTCATTAACAAAACAAGGATAAACCATTCCTGAATGTCGCAGCAACACAAATTAGGAGTTGTAACACATTTTTTCAGGACACATTCAACCCACAACAACTTCTTAACTTTATTTTATGAGACCAGTATTATTGTGATACCAAAACCCGACCAAGACATCAAAAGAAGAAAACTGGAGAGAAGATACATCTTTCATCAATATAGATTAACATCAACAAAATACTAGCAAACCAAACCCAGTAGCATAAAAAAACACTATAGACACCATGGCCAAATGGGGTTTATCCCAGTTATCCAACATGAAAAGCAACCAATGGTAATATAATGTATTAATGGGATAATAAAGGGGGGGGGGCCCACATGATCACCTCAATAAATATGCAAGCACTTGACAAAAATGCAGTGCCCTAGTCTGACAGAGGAGTCCCGGTGCCACATGGATTAACACACTGGGTTTTTAACTTGCAAGGTCAGCAGCACAAAACCACTGGCTGCTAAGAGGCAGAAAGATAAGGTTTTCTTCTCAGTCCTGGAAACCTCACAGGGGCAGTTTTACTGTCCTACAAGGTTCCCCGGAGTTAGAATAGACTTGACAGCAAGCACTTAACAAAAGGGTACTTAGCCTGATAAATGTGTTATAAATTCCAACCTTTACACTGTGAACATGACCCCAAGACAACAGGGTTTTCTTCTAATGTTAAAGAGGCCATGTTACTGTAGGGTATACATTTAGCTAATCACGCCTATGATTTAAAAGCAGATACCGTGTGTAGCTTTCCAAGAAACGGCCATGATGCTTAAACAGAATTTTCTCCCAGAGAGGAAAGTCACCAACGTGTGGTATGTTTGTTCGGTATTCCCAAGTAGATCTACAAATTCAACATACCTATGCACTACTGTCAACTGATACTGACTCATAGCAACCCTATCAGGCAGAGTAGACCACTCCACAGGGTTTCTGCGGCTTACAAACCTTTACCAGAGATTTCTCTTACTACCTTAACACTCTTCCAAGGAGTGGGAATCAATAACCTTGGGGCTAGCAGCCCAGTGCTTAACCGCCCACACCACCAGTGAATGAATTCTAAATCACAGTGACCTTTACAGGACAGGCGAGGACTATCCCTTTGAACTTGCAAGACTATAGATCTGTACTGGAGCGGACAGCCTTCACTGTTGTTCTGTGGATTGGCTGGGGCTTTGAACAGCTGACTGTGGTTAACAGCAGCTCAAGGCATCCCAGCCAGTTTTTCCCCTGCAGAAATGTCCAGGTTGACCCGAACATTGACATAAAAATACAACCCAAACCAAATTCACAGCCACCAACTCAATGCTGACTCATAACAGCCCTAAAGAATAGGGGAGAACTATCCCTGTGAAATTCTGAGACTGTACTCTTTATGAGAACAGAAAGTCCAGTCTTTCTCTCTGAGAGCAACTAACTGATGGTTTCAAACGGCTAACCTTGCAGTTAGCAATCTAATTGGTAATCACTCCACCACCAGGCCTCCAAGGGGCCTAGAAAAGTTAAAACAGTCTTGAAAAAGAAGAAAATTGAAACATTCATGATTTCTGATTTCAATACTAAAGCCTCATAATTACGGTCAACTGACTTTCAACAAAGATGGCAGTGGCGAAAGAGTTGTCTTCAGTTTGCCAACAGTGCTGGGACAAGTGGATCTTTCCATGTCAAAGAATGACGCTGGAGCCCAAATCTCACACCATATGCAGAAATTAGCCCCCAAACTAAATCAACCTGAACACTAAACCTAGTAGATATTCTGTACTTTATATTAAGTAATGGTTTCTTTGATGACGTATCAAAAGCATAAACAACAAAAGAAAATAATGATTCCAACACAGAAATCAAGTACTAATAAGCCCATGAACAGTTGCTATGTAACCATTTTTTCACAGTCCTATACTCGATTTTGTTATTTGAGGTGTAAAAACATCACCATAATGTACATATTTTAAGAAACATAAAAATAATTTAATTATAAACAGTGCACACTGGTACATATAATAAAATTACATTATTGTCTGGATAATTTCCTTAAGTTAAAATGCACTATCTTAAAAAAAAAAATTCAAGATAGGGAATAAATAAAACTATGAGTCTGTTCGCAACGATTAACAAAGCCCAGAGAAAAGTAATTAACAGTCACATTATAAAAGCCAGGTCATTGCAATGTTGCAATCTGTATCCATCAACTTGAGGGATGGAAAACTAATCAGGGTAGTGAATTCTGAGGTTTACTATGCTTAATCCTTGTTAAAATTTTACACCAATGAAATTGATAGTTTCTCAATTCAATTCATGTGTATTTCATGATAGATTGGTACTTACCCGCTAGTCCCTAAATTCTACAAAGGGCAAAACTGGAGAGACATTGTCTTTCAGGCCAAGCCCCCGGGCAGTTTTATTGGACTCAGTCCAACAGAACAATCACCTATGATGGAAATGCCTTATGTCTGTGCTTCCTACATAGCAGGCACACAGACCAGAGCATTGAGCATTTGAAATGTGCTACCAGTGTAACATTTAAGTGCAACGTAGTAAATGATGACATTTTTATTTTTACATAAACTCACCCTTTCTATAGCTTCTTTTTCCTGAGGTGTTACTTGAATGTAGTTCATATGACCACTTCCAGCTTCTGCAATTCCTCCACTGCTACCTCCACCCCCACTTCCTTGACCACCAGCTTCTTGAACTGGTTCATTTAACATCTGAATAAAATGCTCCTGGTGTTGGCTAATTTGCTGTGGGAAGTCGAAGAACAGAGAAAAATAATGCATGATAAAAAGTATCTTCAGAAAAGTAAGAATTCTAAATATAAAAGCATTACCGTTGCCACTGTAATATATTTTAGATGGATTCTGAGTCGTTCAGTTTTGGAAGGGACATAATTCTTGTTTATAATTAAAGAAACATCAACTTTGAATAAATACTGATGATTAAGAAAATTCATAAATGCCCACCCCACCATAAAACTAATTTTGCAACTAACACCACGAATAGTTGCCAAATTAATTTCACTGAAAAAATAGACTAGTCAGCTAAGGTGCACAGCATTCCTCTAGTTCTTTAATGCTTCCTCCCCCCACTATCATGACCCCAGTATGTACACGGGTACAGTTAAGAGCTCTGGACACACACAGAATCCAAGACAGATAAACCCCTCAGGAACAATAATTAGAGCAGAGATACCAATAGGGTTTGAATGGGCCAATGTGATATATATATATATATATTCTTTTACCCCCCCCAAAAAAAATACAGGGGTGAAAAAACCTATTTTAGGACTGTAAAATATTATTTCCCATAATCTTTTGAAGCTCCCTTGTGCTATTTTTTAGTATCCACTCTGGTAAGCAATACAATGCTTGGAAAACCTTCAATATACTTCATCATCTCAGCATGAACTAGGCCTACAGTTAAGTTTTCTAGGAGGCAATACTCCACTCAAAATTAAGTTGTGAAAAGTGGATTTAAAAATGAAACCTACTTTGCCACAGAGCTTCTCAGATCTTTAATATGTCCACGTGCCCTGAGAATCTCCAAGGAGACATCAGCTCCACCAACCACATTTTATTCAATGCGGGCAGGGGACGGGGGCGGGTTTACAGTGATGGATATTTTCACAATGTGATGCCTGCTAAAGCTCACTTTCAAAACAAACATGATTGGAAAGTCACCTGTAGTAACTGAGGATTCTCTCGACCTATCTGTTGTAGCAATGCTGGAAGTAGGGAAGGATTCTGTTGAATAATTTGTCTCATCTGTTGGAACTGAGGTTGATTCCTCAAAAATTCCAATGGGTGACCTAAAAATCACACAAAGTTGTAATTATATATGGAAACAGCTATTTTAATTATACACCTAGAATGCAAAGACAGGCAACTAAAAATTATGTTCTGAGTTTTCTGATGTATGTAAATAAAATACCATATATACTTGAGTATAAGCCAAGTTTTCCAGCACATTTTTAATGCAGTTTTTGTGGTAAAATCTGGTGCCTCGGTGGATATTCGCGCCTGCTTACACTCGAGTATATACAGTATATAACTACAGAACTTTCTAGATGTACCCAAGTGCATGCTGAATACCAGGGGGAAGTAGTATTCCTGTGAGCAAAGGCTCTTGGGGAATGCAGAGCACTAGAACCCATCTGTGACAATTGCTTCAGGCACTCATTATTTTCAATATTAGGGTACAGGCCCTGCATGTATTCTATCAAAATAAAACTGCATTCAGTTAATAAAAGTGCATACAGAAATTATTTTTTAAAACAAAAAAAACCTCGTTTACTTTAGAACATACAAAACACCCCCAAAGAAAAGTCTTCTATATAAGATTACTATTAGAATCAACCCTGACATTGGGCTTGGTTTTGACATTTACAGGGAGGGAATGAATAGACAAGGTAGACAGTAGACAGAACTACTCTGAATGGCTTTATATGATAGCATTAAGTACAAGCTGGGAAGCGTGTTTTAGAGTAATCTATACGGAAGTTGTCATTTGCCAAAACAAGGGGGGGGGGACCCTTTACAACCATTTTGGCAGAATTTCTTTTGAGCCACTCTCTAGCATTAAGGTATAGGAAACTTCCTTTAGGCATTATTCAAATGCTTTGGGAATAAACCTCACCATAGTAAAGAAGATTAAACTATTTTACATTACAAATTAAGAAGCTGTTCCCTCCCGATTGAAAACACCCTACTTTACCTCCGGGACTTGTGGTGGTTGTCGTTGCTGTGGTAGTTGCTGCAGCTGTTGCCACGGCGGACGACGGAGGAGCCCCCGTACTAGCTGCTTGAGGGGGGTCCACCACAGCCTGACTTTCCCGATCTCCTGGGATTCCCTGAAAACGTAATTTCAACCTTTCAAACTCATTTAAAGTTCACTACATATCATACTGACTGAAAGACTTGTTAAGTCATTCAATATTTTACAGTATCAAACAGATGCCTACTTCAGTTCAAGTAGAGTTGATAAAAATGCTATAGATTTTCAAATTCAGTTGGAAAGGGCCTAGGGGTGAAAGAACCAATATAAGGTAATGTTGTCCACAGACCTTCCTAGCATCAAAGAAATGTTAACACTTGGTGGTTACTGTTATTTTTAAAACACTGAATTTTACATTTCTCCCTATTAATGTTTCAAAAATGTAGATAACTATTGTTGACTAGTGGCTACTTTACTAGACAGGATGAAGAGGTTTCAAAAAGTTCATGTAGAAATGGAATTAAAGGATAACGGAATTTTTCCATGAACTTTTTTAAGCCTTCCCCCATTCAGATAATAGATATAAAAAGTTCTGCCATTAAAATTTTGTCATGAAACAATGTTTACAGAACTGCCAAATGAATGTGAATCAATCCTGGCCCAATCAAGCTGACACCTCCCCTCACCCCAACCCCCACCAAGTGTGTTCAGTACTGTTAAACAGATGTCTTGACTGTAAACAATGGGTGAACGGTAGATTACTTACTAGTTTCCTACACTGGCAATGTTAATGAGACAGTCAATAACTGAAGCGAGGGTGTAAGACATATATTAAAAAGCAACATGATCAGTGATTTTGTGCTATACATCACTCTAGTTGACTTTTTAAATCTCACAAAAATGTTTTTAAGCGGCTGCTCAGTAAAAAAACTGCACTTGTAACCTAGCTTTAAGCACACCCAGAGGTTTGTTTGCTGCATTTATGCTACATTTATGATACACTTCAAGAAGTTCCTACAGATTCTGAAAGGAGGAAAGATTACGTTTGAAAGGATAATATATTCACATATCCATATAACCCGGATTCAGAGAATAACATATGAAGAATGATGGGCAATGACTAACAGGATCCTGGCTCTGGCTGCATTAGGCACAGACATCATTCCAGACATCACAAAGAATGCTTCTGAGAGAGCCCACAATGTCAAGCTCAGGTAATTTTCATCCATTTCTCACCCATAAATTGGTCTTACCATGGTGGACTGCATGCTGCGCCAATGATGACTTTCAGACTAAGACAAACTAAAAATTACTGGTCCCTTAGATCTTAAACAACTACAACGAAGTAAAACTATGTTTCTTACCATTAAAAGGTACTCCACTGCTCTGTCAGGGTTGTTGAAACTGGCTCTTAGGGCTGCAATGACTTGCTCTCGTTCGTAGCCCATTGACATGATCTCGGTGACCATGTTTTCATAGGACTGACCTGTCACTGAAAAAGGAGGGTGTGGGGTGGGCAGAAGGAAAGGGACAGTTAATAAATTATTAAGTCTCCTGAGTGTGTGTGCATACACACAATGTTTCGGGTGCTATGAACAGAAAGATGACTTGGGAGTATAAACTACTACCAAAATGTGGTAGGCAGAAATAGCCTGCCTCCAAACTAGGACCTCAGAAATGTTAGGTTACGTGGCAAAGAACAAGTAAAATCACAGATAAAGCTTGTTAATCAGTTGACCTTTAAAGTAAGGAGAATGACTTGGTTTATTGAGATATGACCAATACAGTATCAGAGAGGGCAGGCAGAGAAGATTAGAGAAACAATATAAGGATAAGTGCCAGGTCAGAGATAGAGGAAAGGGGGGTGGGGGGTGTTAAGGAACATGGACAACCATTCGAAACAGAAAAGGTCAAGGACACAGATTCTCCACCTAAAAAACCCTGTTACTGTCAAGTTAACTTCAAGTCAGAGAGATCTTATAGAAGAGCCAAAAATCAAACCCACTGTTGTCAAGTTAATTCTGACCCATATTAACCATACGGGATAGAACCTATGTGTCCCACGGGGTTTTCGAAGCTACCAGTCTTCACAGAAACACCTTTCTGGACCTGGGCAGGAAGCACCATCATGGGAGTTGACACCCTCCACAAGAACCCAAAGGTCACTACAAGGAATCCAAAAGCCAGGACCTGCTGCAGGTTTCTGGCCCGGAGGGCGAACTCCACCTTTAACCAGGCTATTCTGAAAAGGCAGTTCAGGAGCCATACCACCCCGGCCACCCCAGCCCTCTCTTGAATGTTCCAGAAGACAAACCTTTCTGGCTAGGAAAACAAGATGGCTGTGGAGACACTAACAGATGACTTACAGATGCAGGCGGTGGCCAACCTGAAGGTGTGCACGCTCCAAGTGAGCAGCCAGTCTGGGGCTACATCCTCACAACTGGAGTTAAGATCCTCGCCTTCAACCAGCTGGTGCTGAGCCAAGGGCTGTGGCACCATTTTACTGCCCAGTCCACACAAGGGCTGCAAGGGGTACAGACATTTCGGGAAAGCACCAGGGACCTCAAAGCCATATCACACAGTATGCCTGCTACAATGGCTGCAAGCTCTAGTTCACACGATAGCGGCGTACCAGTCATGGCTACAAAACCGAGTTCCAGATGTCACCTTTATTGAAAAGATTTTGAATGTTTATGGCAAGGGGAAAAACCCTTCACAGAAACTGGCTGTTCCATGTTTCCTTTGTAGAGCAGCTGGTGTGTATGCACTAGCAGGGAGGGTTTAAGTACTGTGCCCCGGGATCCTTGGAACACGTGCATGCGCGGCCCTGCTGACTCCCTGCATTTGAGCCCAGTGAGACACATGCCAGACTTTTAACCTGGAACTATAAGATACATGCTTTTGTTGTTTTAAAACCCAGATTTATAATACAGAAAGAGAAAAATGGGTATCATATAAACACCAGGTACAGCATGGCACAGAATAGAGAAGTATCAAATTGTCAGCGAACGCATTTTAGGAGACAGACTGAATTTTGAAAAATATGTAGGTAAGACATTTCACACCATCTACAGAGCCGTAACAAGTTAGCAGTTTTTATTCCCACTGCACGTTATCAAAACAGCAAGGGAAAGCGGCCAGACCAATAGAAAGTTAAAAGCTCTCTGGTAGTCACACAGTCTGTTGTCAACTTGAGACTTAAGAGTAGCCTGTCAATGAGGTCACAGCTCGATGACTTCATTTTGAGCTGCTAAGGAGAAAAATAGCTCATTAGAGGTGGGACATTCACTCCCTCCCTGTGAGACACTCCTATTGACAAGACACATGGAGCTACTGTAGTGCCCTGGAGCTGGAGGAGTCACGTGAAGACCCACGCCAGCACTGAGATGCTTACACTGCCACTGAATCCACAAGATTTTCCACCCACTGGCCTGTGATCTTCTAGCATTTGGCGTCATTGCATGTATTTCGTTGAGTCTGAAGAGGGTTTTGTAGCTTGGTATCGGACATATGGGCTAATATTGGCCTTATGGACTTGATCTGAACTGGGCTGGGGAGTTTTCTTAATGAGCAACTGTTCTTGTATATAAAGCTCTTCTACACACGAGTGCCTATGAATTCGTTTCTCTAGTCAACCCAGACAACACAAGCTCACATAACACACAAGGAACGTCACTTCCTGAAGGTACTCCCCTGAGCTCCCCAACTAGAGCACTTTTCATGGAACTTCATTGTACATGATGGTATCTTGAACTAACGGAAGCAGAGGTCTCCATCACTGAACATAATTGTTTAGCTGCCATATAGTTGGCCTCCGACTCATGGCAGCCCCTTCTGCACAGTGGAACAAAAAGGCTGCCTCTCTTGTCCTGAGCCAACTCAGTGATGAGACTATTGTGACCCACAGGGTTTCCTCAGAGGGGGGTTTTTTCATAGGCAGATTGCCAGGGTTTTCTTTCTAGTCTTTATTAATTTGGAAGTTCTTAACACCATTTGGCATGATCTGCCATTAACTTTATTCCACTGTTTCTTTTTGACACTTGAATGAAGGTTTAACAATTTTGAGGATCCATCTAAGCAAACAGAGCCTTGGTGGAGCTGTTTGGTGGTAGATGCTAACCACAGAGTCAGTGATGCAACCCCACCAGCTGCCCTGCAGAGGAAGACAAGGCTAGTTGCAGGCTCAGAAATCCTAGTAAATCACTGTTCAAACCAACTTGATGGCAGTGGGCTTGGTTCAAGGTGCTGTTTGAAAGCACATGGTTGCTCACTATAGCTCTTGAAGGTTAATAGCCTGAAGACTGTCTGCCATCAAAAGCAATCAGCTCATCTAACCCTAATCCCACTCCTTTCTGATAATGATCAGATTGTTCCCCAGGAAAAGAGCTCAGGGACACCTAATGGCAAGCCAGCTCAGAGACCAAGTTTAATTCAACATCTTAACTCTAGAACCCACCCATCTTGTTTCCTATGTACCTTCCTGTCACATGTATGCCGCTAATATAGTGGTTTTCAACCTTCTTATGCTGCAACCCTTTCTACAGTTCATGTTGTGGTGACCTCCCAACCATAAAATTATTTTCGTGCTACTTCGTCACTGTAATTTTGCTACTGTTATGAATCGGGCGACACCCCTGTGAAAGGGTCATTTACCGCCAAAGGAGTCGCAACCCACACAGGTTGAGAACTGCTGCTCTAATACCTCCCCTACCTGTTGTGTGCACATCATGTCTTGTCGGATGTTTGTTTAATTTACTCCTCAATTACACAACCGCCTCCCAGGACCCAATTGGTTGTGCAGGCTGGTCCCTCACATAACATTAACTCATTATCCAAGAGTTGATTCCGACTCATGACAAGCCCATGTGTTACTGAACAGAACTCTCATCGAAGTTTTCTTGGCAGCAATCTTTATAAAAGCAGCACCACGCAAGAATAAATTAACCATAATTAAATTACTATCTCATTCAATACTATCTCATTTTATAGTTCGATTAAAATAAACTAAGAAAACATACGTTTAAGATCACAGAAAAAGGATACAACTTCAACCTCTTTTACCTAACTCTTATAAGGTTAGTTACGATATAGGGAATATTCTTACCAAGTGCACTTGTTGCATCTTCAAAAAGGTTTGAGCGCGAAGAATCTCCTGATGTACTGGAAAATATTTTTTAAAAATAAAATCAACACTTGAAAAGTATATAAAATTTACATGGAAATTAAATAATAGTCAACTTTATTGTTGTGATAAATTACAACACACAGCACTTCAAAAACCTTAATAATATTTAAAATCTTAATTTAATATAAAAGTCTAACTACAGTGTTAAATAATCGATCTAGATTAACTCCAAAAGCTTTATACATATCATCCATGATTTGGGGAAAATGTCCATCTCAATACTCAGTCTATGCCAAGGTACTATTATTTTAATAGACAAATATAAATAACACCTTTATACCTATTTAAGAACTACAAAATAAAAATGGTCAAAGGAGTTAATCTACAAATGAAGTCACAATTGAAAAGCTTCTAAAAACAGTAATGCTTAAACAAAAACAGCACATGCAAAAACCAAAGCAGAAACCTTCAAATCGTGGAATTCCACTTGTCTTACTAGTAAGTTTTAAACAAGAAAATTTAGAGGAAGACATTCAAGGCAAGGAACACAACATAAGCAAAAGTAGAGGTAGGATAAATCTCAGCTATAACATAAGGTAGGACCAATATAAAAGAACCAAATGTCAAGTTCTATACAACACAAGGCTGGTGGAAAAGTAGGCAGATGAGATGATGAAAAAGTATGAAGATCGAGTCTAAGAAAAATACATTAAAGTTTACCTAAGTGGTAAAAGTAGTTGTCAGCAGTTTACAGTGACAGATACAAACGTGCCAATACACACTTTCTCTTTTCCCTCCTCCTGCCCCTCACCCTATGCCCCACTTTAAAAAACAAATACACATTTGACCAAGTACTGAGAAAGCACTGTAGCAAAGCAAAGGACCCGGAGTTTGCATAAATTACCTAAACTTTCTAAGCGTGTCTCTTCACCATTATGAGACCAATGAAAGTATCCACGTGGATAGGATTACTGCTTGTAAAGTGCTTGCTAAAGGAAGAATCTCTTCTACTATGATCAAAATAGTCCTTTAGTGTCCCTTATCAGTTGTTTCATTAGCTAGATAGTAAAATTAAGTGGAGAAGGTGAAATTTCAAAAAGAATATACAGAAAAATGAAACTACTCTCCTGACCAAGACCCTACCTAAAGACAACCACTGAGACCAGTTTGTATCTTAAAGAGTAACACAATTATTTCTTACAAGCATTGTAAAATCTGTGTAATTTTCGCCCCCCATAGATGCAGTATTCCATTTAATGGGTAACAATCTAGCCTTCAATAAGGAATCTTTAGGCTAGTTCCCAACTTTTTAATGTTCTCAGTAGCCAAAACAATCCAGCATTATTTTAGACAATTACTTCCTAGCTGGTTTATCTTGCTTAGAAAAGACCTATTCAAGCTAAGATTATTTTTATTACTACCATGTGCTACTGTAGTCTACAGTTTAATTTTTACATTAGATCTTTATACATTTGGGATTTCCTGAGTCTGAGGTATAGAGAATCCATCTTATTATGCCACCAAGTTTCAGCCTATATTTTGAGATGACATATTTAGAGTAAGTACTGTACATATTGGAAAGCGCACTGGTAGCACAATCATTAAAGCACACAGCTGCTAACTAAAAGGTCAGTGGTTTGAGGCCAACTCCTGCCACACAAGTTGAATATGTGGCTGTGTGCTTCTGTAAAGATGTACAGCTTTAGAAACCCTGTGGAATCATTCTGCTCTGTTCTAACATCAGAGCTATAATCGACTCGGAGAGCTGAAAGCATGCCTGGTTGTGTGCTCAAGGTAAGAGACAGTATAGTGAAAATACCTGCCTAACACAGCGTAGGAGGCAGGCAAAGGGAAGCCATTTTATTACTGGCAATCCTACAGTTCTAAGTCCTATTGTTGGAAAGACCCTAAGAAGTGGCTAGAAGTTGAGGGTCAACAAATGCCAAAACCACATACGGGAAAACTGCGCAACTGGTTAATACTGACATTACTGATGCACTGACAGTGACAAGAAGACTACAGAGACCACACATAAATAAGGATTCCAGTAACTACTATTATAAAATTTTAAGTTGTTCTTGATCTTTTATCCTTTTTTAAGTTAAACAGCTTTGGCACACACCTACAAAATCCATTAAGTGTAGCCATCTCGATTATAAAAATTTATACCTACAGACATTTTAAATCACATTCAAACTTTTTCAAAACTTGGCACAGTAATCAGTTTGATGATCATCATCATACAAAGATATTATGAGGTCTAATTTCTTAAAATCCAGGTCTTACCTGTCAGTTGATGTTGGACTAGTAGCCACGGGTGCTTCTGCTGGCTTTTCTGCAGGTTTTTCTTGTTGAGTTGCACTAGTGGGTGTGGGTTCAGAAGGTGCTGTTGTTGATGCTGGAGTGATAGGCGTGGGGTTAGGTGCGGGTGCAGGTGCAGGTGTGGGTGCCGAAGCAGGGGCGGGGGTAGGGGCCTGTGCCACAGTTGCAGCTGCAGAGGAGCTAACTGCAGTGGTGGTAGCAGGACTTGACTGCTGCGTCGTGGTTGGTGCTGGTGCGGTCACTGCTTTGGGCTATGCACATTGGAAAGCAAACAGTTAAAGTTAATTAATTATGAGAAAGTATGTTAAATGATCCCCTTATCTCTCATTAGACTCTTAAGAGGTGACTTCAAAAAAGTTGAAAATAATTTTGTAAAGTGATATGATGTGATTAACATTAGCAAGATGATTCACTTTATAAAGAATGCTTTCAAAGTTACAGAGGACATCTGTATCTGTCCTGAACACCAACTATTAGCCCCAATTGTTAGCTTTAGCTAACGATTTCAGTCTTTCAAATTATTTACTTAATCTGAAATAGAAGCAAAAACAAAGACTAATATAAAAATATGTATCCAGAAAATAGCCAAACAAGTTCTCCAAAATATGTTTTACTTTTTTGGATTTTTTAAAAATTAACTATAAACTGAATACTTAAGATACAAAAAGGTGTGCATTTTACTCTTCTAAAACCAATCACCTAAAATTATGCAGATTACGATGTTTAAGCATCAAACCTTTGTAATCAATATTTTACAGTAACATTTCACGGACTCGTGGCACAAAGGGCTATTTTGCTTTCAGTATAAGCCCCTCTGTTCTGCTTGCTTCTGACAGGAAGTTCCCCCCACCTTTTGGTCTTACAGTCAACCTCACTGGCTTTTTCAGTGTTGACCTCTATCAGTACCTTTCCTCTTCTAATTAAGTGGACTCTACTATTACCTTCAAAATAAAATAACCATAATTATCCAGATTCTATATCAAATAAAATTAAACAGGTCTAAAGTATCTATTCCTCAAATGCAAAACTCTATTCTGAGACCAATTCTCCTTCTTAGTTATGGTCCTAACAGTCAAAATTACAGTACTATTATTGAAGACAGTCAAGTTGAAGGCCACCTTGGCACCTAATAAGAGACAGGGCCTCAAATCAAGTAACACCCATGAAGATGTACTCCTTAGAGTAGTCAACTATGGGAGAGCAAAAGGGCTAACCTTTGCTCAAAACCAAAGATGAGAAGACAGGGAGGAAGAGGAAAACCAGAAAACCAGAAACAAGACGTCAGAGAGAAGTAGAGAAGCATGCTAACACACTACAAGGTTTGGAAAAAATGTCACGAACAGTACGTGTATGAACTACTGATTGAGAAAAATAACGCCATGTAAATTTTTTAAAGCACATAAAATGTTTACTAGCTAAATGTGTGGCTATCTCATTTTCCATTGTGTGCCACATGATCAAACTAGATGGGGCAAGAACTCCCTTACCCGAAATTACCTACTACTTTATTTAAGGTCATTCAATAAGTACGTGCTTCAGCAGCTTGCGTGACCACGAGGTGCCGAAGGGATCAGTTATCAGGCATCAAAGAACAAAAAAATCGTATCATTGTGTGCTCACCTCCCTGATATGATCGCTGAAGACAAATGGGTGCAAATGTGGTGAAGAAAGCTGATGGTGCCCAGCTATCAAGACATAGTGTCTGGGGTCTTAAAAGCTTGAAGGTAAACAAGCGGCCATCTAGCTCAGAAGCAACAAAGCCCACATGGAAGAAGCACACCAGTCTGTGTGATCACGAGGTGTCGAAGGGATCAGGTATCAGGCATCATCAGAACAAAAAATCTTATCATTGTAAATGAGGGCGAGTACGGAGTGGAGACGAGCCAGTCAGGGTGCAGTGTAGCAACGATGAAACATACAACTTTCCTCTACTCCTAAATGCTTCCTTCTCCCCGCCCCCTCACTATCATGAACCCAATTCTACCTTACAAATCTGGCTAGACCAGAGGATTTACACTGGTACAGATAGGAACTGGAAACACAGGGAATCCCGGACAGATGATCCCTTCAGGACCAGTGGGCTGAGAGTGGTGATACTGGAAGGTTGAGGGAGGGTAGGGTGGGTGGAAAGGGGAACCTATTACAAGGATCTACATATAACCTCCTCCCTGGGGACAGACAACATAAAAGTGGGTGAAGGGAGACATCAGACAGGGCAAGGGATGACAAAATAATAATTTATAAATTATCAAGGGCTCATGAGGGAGCGGGGGAGGAAGGGGGGGAAATGAGGAGCTGATGCCAGGGGCTTAAGCGGAGAGCAAATGTTTTGAGAATGATGAGGGCAATGAATGTACAAAAGTGCTTTACACAATTGATGTATGTATGGATTGTGATAAGAGTTGTATGAACCCCTAATAAAATGATTAAAAATAAATAATTTTTTAAAAAAATAAGTGCTTCAATATAGCAAAATCATACGGTTCTGTAATGGGCTTTAAAAAATTAAATAATACATGTAAACAGCTCAGTTTTTGCTTCTGGGTACTTAAGTATGCCCTGGTTAAAATGTATCTGTCATCTCGGCTTTCTATTATAGAAAATATTTGGTTACTTAAAAAGTAAAATAAACAGATTCTACTTGTGTCCTTTTGTGAACTGTTATCAATTATGCAGTATTACAAATATTATTACAACAAATATTATTATAAACATGATTCCCATATTGTGTCACTGTGTTCCTGAAGATCACTATATCATGAATACCATCACTTTGATCTTCCTACTAACTCTCCACTTGGTTGCTATTAGCTTCCATAATCAGACTGCATGACTACATGCCTTTAAATAAATATATATTGTTTTAGAGGGGAAAGTTTCACTTGTATGAACTGTTCCAAATGTATTTCATTCCAATAAATTAAAAAGAAATCTCATATTCAAAATTTCTGTACTACAGTAAATCTTTCATTACTTTCGCTGCCTTTTTTTAATTGTTAAAAATCTACTGCATTCATTAAGCAATTTCACAGAAATTCTGAGTCTACATGTTTTTTCTGTTGGTAGAACTTGGAAATAATATAGGAAGAACCTTTATTGAGCCCATATTAAAGGCTACATAGACATTCAATCTCTGGCAAACAATATCTATGAATAATTATTTAATCAGTGATTCTATTGTTCCCGCAAAATGTACGCATTTTTACCATATTTTACTTTTCAGTTGTGTATTTTATAAATCACTTGCATGCATAAAGATGTAAAGAATGAGGCTGGAGACTTACTTTTGTCACCATAACCACCACAAAGTTTTTCTCATCAATTTTGTATTCTTTGAGAGCAGTATCATCATTGAGGATTTTTCCTAACATATTAAAAAAAAGGTATTATTTAAGGTATGGCAATCTTTTCTTACACATCACTGAAGTTAAAACAACTTTCTAGGCATTAACCACCAACATAATTCCACCACTTCTCCCATCCCCAAATCTGAATCAAAGGTAAAGAAGAGGGTAAATATGAAATGGACATATGGGTAGTTAAAAAAGGAAAAATTAATCCTGACTCATGGAAACCCTCTAAGACATGGTAGAACCGTGCCCCCCTGTGAATTTCCAAAACTGCAACTCTTTACAGGGATAGGAAGCCTCATCTTTCTAGTGATGAGCGGCTGGTGGTTTTAAACTGCTAACCTGCAGCCCAACAAGCAACCACTACACACCTGGACTCAAAAAAGCAAATGTATGGATTTTAAAATGTCAACCATTTATACTACATAAACATATTCCAAGGAAATTTGATAAATTATGAAAGTGAGATACTCATATTAAAGAAGTACTTCACCAAATGACCCAGTACACAAGAAAACTTGGTCTAGAAGTGAGGAAGACACAGGGTCATGGTGGAGGTAGCGTTCCATTTTAAAAACTCTAGAAACCAACTGCTGCACGAATTGTGACAGAGCCAAACAGAGAATCTCTCCTCTATCTAATTAGGCATTCTAGTTTCATCAGAAGCCCTGGTGACTGGGTAGTTATGTGTAGGGCTGCTAACCACAATGCTTGCAGGATGAATGAGTCATATTTAGTCGTGCCTTCCCCCACAAAATTTGGATGCTGTGCAGTCTAGGACCCTGAAACTGGAAGAACTAGATGGTGCCTGGGTACCACTACCAGCTGCTCTGAAAGAGACAGATCACATTCTCGCAGGTCCTGGGCAGAATGAGAGAAAAATGTGGAACAAAAGTCAATCATAAAAAGAGCGAGGCTTTCTGGTTAAACACACACTGCTGCAACTCCCAAGATACGGACATTAAGTCCCTGTTCAAGCCTAGAAATGAGCTCACCCATGGCCCAGTCAAAGGAGAGCTAGGTCTGTAAGGGGACACCACCACTGAAGAGGTACACATGCCTGAAAGTCATCACCCACTTGAGATGACGAGTAGAATTTACGTAAGGACAAAATGTAGATGGATGCAGAAAGGAGGAACAGGAAACACCAGGAGCAAGGAGAATGTGATAAGCTTGGGTAATCTAGTTACAGGGCTTTGGGATATGCAAGGTTGTCCATAACCTTCAACCAATTCTGGTAATTAAAACAGACTTCAAATAAAAGAACAAAATTCAGTTGTGTGATGCCTATAAGAGCACACAAAACTACAATTCCTGAATGAAGACATCAGTAGGGTAAATATAAATAAAGAGAATCTGATTATTATTATCACATTCAAGTGACTCACTGCTTCCATCTGTAACAATCATGCTTGTCACAGAAGCCATTGGCACACAGAGCAATCCCCGGGCAGCCACTTCTCAAACGAAAGGGACGCCACAATGAGCAGGGAAACAAGCCAGTAAGGTCAGCGTTGACTTCATACCTGCATAAATTAATTTTTGGCCTGCTACCGGGAAGGCATCTTTCCCCTTTTCAGACTCAATCTTCTCCTTCAGTGCTTTCACCTATAAAAGAAAAAGATTTCAATAAATAATTTTTTAAAAAAGATTTCATAAAGAAAGCTAAATAAAAATGCCAACCCAGAATCTGAAAAATGATTAAATATGCTCATGTCTGATTATCAATGCTTCCTCACATGCAAAGATCATGTCTTCTAATCTTATACCAAAATAGCCACTATATTATTACACTTGACAGGCATAAATGTTCTTCTATCACGATCTATTACAGCGGTTCTCAGCCTGGGGGCCGACCGACTCTTTCACAGGGGTCGCCCGATTCATAACAGTAGCAAAATTACAGTTATGAAGCAGCAACAAAAATAACTTTATGGTTTGGGGTGGTCACAACATGAGGAACTGTATTAGTTGCGGCATTAGGAAGGTTCAGAACCACTGATCTATTACATATACAGAGATTTTTAAAAAATACTTTAAGCAGATTGGGTAATTTTAAAAAAATTAAGGTTTCAACTAAGAAGCTTGGATTCTCATTAACTAGGAATAAAGGACACCTTCATAAAGACGAATTAAAAATAACTTCTGAGGGTACAGCCTGGACATTAATATTTTGAAAAAGCTCTGCCAATCCTCCAGGCCCCCTAACAGCAGCAAAATAATCTACTGCCACTTAGTTTATCCTGACTCACAACAACCCTGCAGGGCAGAGTCAAAGAACCAACTGCTCTAGGGAGCTAGAATCTTTACTGAAACCGACTTACTCCAGGTGAGGGGTCCAGGCTGCCAACCTATCAGTGAACAGCCACGCATGCACAGCCAATGTGCCACCAGGGCTCCTAAATTAATCTTTGCAAGATGGTTCCCAAGTTCAGCCAAGGCAGAGAACCACTAGACTACTTAAAAGAGCTTAAGATGTACCCTGGATTCCCTCTGCTGCATCTGTAAACGAAGGACCAAAGATGACCTTTATGGCCTCTGCTATTCCTAATATTCTATGACAACAGGGTCAGACTTAGAAAGCCATGAATCAATCAATTTCTGAAGCCAAATCACGGGGTAGCACGCAACCAAAAAAGGCAAGGAGACCGGGTTTCTCATGTGGTTTAGCTGGACTAGTTTCAGTACTTCACAGTCCTAAGAGTGGAGAAGAAAAATGACCTCCATACCCTTCCATGTATCAAAATAATTCTGAAAGCTGTTTAAATGGATAGTTCTTAAACTTATGTGAAAAATTATCTGACAGAAAGGGTTACGATGAGTTTTTCCATACATGCACACACACACACACAAAAGTAAAGCTTACATAGCTTAAGGAATATTAGCATATACAATTTCACATAATCCCCAAAACTCTGGGATAAATGACAGTACTGCCCACTCGGTTTTGTCGATGAGAAAATAGAAAAATGCTTAAATCGCCTGTCCCAAATCACAAAGTTACTTAAGGAGTATTTTGTAAATACCATATGGATCACCCTTGCTTGTCATTTCAGATCTTCCTCAAACCAGTCAGCACCAATATGGAAATTCTGATGGTTCCTAAAGTAGAAGCCCATTACAAGAATTTCAGTTCATTACTTTCTGCTGTTCTAAATTTCAAAGGTAAAAAAATCAGTAACTTTTAAAATTCAACATTCAGAAAATCTGATCCCAACACTGTTGATATGCTCAGGAGATGACTTCCATGGTTATTAGATTTAGTGTTATTTCTTTTGCTTAACAGATACTTCACTCTAGGCTAGGTATGGTCTGAAATGGAAAAAGCAGAAGAAATGCCTCAGCTTCACATTTCTGTGGTTCACTTGTGCGATTTCTGATTTTCTCTACCATTCACTAACACCGAGAGTTACCAGGTGGCGCAAACGGTTAGGCACTTGACCATTAGTGACAGGTTGGTGGTTAGAGCTCACACAGAGGCACCCAGATGACAGGTCTGATAATCTGCTTCTGAAAGGCCACAGCCCTGAACAGCCTAGAGAGCTTGGCTTCACTCTGGCACCCCTGGATCACCGTGAGTTGGAATCAAATTCAATGGCATCTAATAACAGTAACAGAACTCAGAAAGTCATGCCCAACATTCATTTAATGCTTCTTTCTAAATTTCTCAGGTAACCTCAAGGATCATTTTGTTAACCTATATACTGTGATCAGACACTATGAGCAGGGATAAAGTGTAATCCAGAGATCCCTTAGGGTGTCTAAGACCATTCTGGTGGTTTGTAAGGTCAAAAGACAAAACTTGACACCTGTATCGACATAACTGAAATTATTTCTATCAGTACTCAATACAAAATGTTTCAACTAGTGGTTATGAGATAGGCTGCTATTTTTAAGGTCAGCAGTTCAGAACCACCAGCATCTCATCGGGAGAAAGACGGCTTTCTACTCCCATAAAGAGTTTCGGAAACTCATGGGCAGCTCTACCCTGTCCTGTAGGGTGGCTGTGAGTCAGCACTGACTCGATGGCAATGAGTTTGGTTTTCTGGATGGCTGCTCTACTCTCCTGTCAATCTTCTCTCTATAAGCAACTGGCTTTCCTCATTTAAATCCAGTCTTATAAATGCTATTGGGGGAAAACAAGTTACATTCAATCTGTTTCCCTAGTTAACCTTCTCCTTCCTCCAAGAGGGTGTTTCAAACTTCAACCATGTCCTTTAAAGCAGATTCCCAACATACACACCCACTCTCTCTGCAGACCCATGCACTTTGTACCTCATTGAAAACACAGCACATCAAAGGAACTCGCCTGCTCAACTTCCTGCCGCTAATGTAACATACTGTCACATCCACAGCTGCCTAATCTTCCCACACAGTGAACAAAGGGGTATCCCCCCTTCGATTCAAATCGAATTCATCCCAAGCCTCTCCTTCCTCCAGAGTTCCCAAGTACCTTGTTAAATTTATTATGTCCTCTATCCATTTTCAATCTCTCCCTCAAAGTGAACTCATTTTTAGTCACACGCACTCAATTATCATGGGAAAAAACAGAAATGTTTTTGTCTTGTACTAGCTACTTCCCCTTATTTTTTCTCTCATACTTTTCCAAAGAATTAACTGCACAATTATAACCCCACACCTATTATTCAAGAGTCAAACACGAGAGTGCTGGAAACTAAAGCACCAACTCTCCACACTACAGAGCTGTGTGAGTCTGGGTACCTTAGAGAAACAAATCCACAGAAACTCATGTATAAGAGAGTTTTATGTAAAGGGTAAGTGCACATCAAGAAAACATCCCAACCCAGTGCTGCATAAAGTCCTACATTAACCCATATGTCCAACACCAATCCACAAAGTCCTCCTCCATCTCACAAAACACACGCAATGATGCTGACTGCAGGAGGAAAGCTGAGTCAGTGAACGTGTAAGCATCTCAGTGCTGGCAGGGGTCTCCACATAGGTGCTCCATCACTCAGGGCTGCATCAGGGTAGGTCCATGTGGCTTCTCCTCAGGGATGTCTTGCAGGAAGTGAGCCTTGCCAGTTAAAGCAGTGAACTGCTAAGGCAGCTGCACCCTGGTCTGACCATCAGAAAGCAAGAGACCAGAGAACTAGAAAGGCGAGGCTCACGGAGTCATTTATCCCTCTGCACAATAAACTACCTCAAGAGTCTACCCCCATAATCCCATTAAGTTGCTCTTATTGAGTGATCACCTAAGATTCAGAGAAAGAAAGCAATTAGTTCAAAAGACTAATGGACCATGTGAACTTGCGATGAGAATAGCTAGATGATGCCTGGCTACCACTACCAACTGCTCTGGATCAGGATCACAATGGAAGATCTGAGAAAAACGTAAAACAATAAAATAAAATTAAAAAAAAAAAATCACAAAAACAACTGGACTCATTGTTTTGATATAGACTTGCAGAATCTCTGAAATTCTGGCCTTTAAACACTCTTAAAACCTGGAACTGAACTCACTCAAGGAGACTTTCCTTTCAGTGAAACCACAGGCAGGTCAAGTAAGCGAGCGGTAACACCTTTGAGAAATTCACTCCTCAAAACTATCAACAGCCCTTCAGGGGGACAAACAACAGAAACCACGTGGGTGTAAGATATGAAAATAATAATCATTTATAATTTATCAAGGGCTGACAGGGGTGGGGGAAGGGAAAAAAGAGGACCAAGGGCTCAACAGAAAATAATTATCTAGAAAATAGTAATGGCAACATATGTACAAATAAATATGCTTAATACAATTGATGTATAGATTGTTATAAGAGTTGTAAGCGCCCCCAATACAATGATCTTTTAATAATAATAATAATAGCAATCAACCAAACAACCAAAGGGGCAGTGCTAGCCCCAACACAAAGTTCAGAGGCAAGAAGGGGCGGGAGGGAAGGGTGAATGGAAGCAGGGAACCAAGGAAGTAAATAGAGTGATGTCACACACTGAGGTATTTGCAACTAGTACCATAAACAAAATGTCTATGAATTATCTATGGGAAAGTAGTTTGATCTGCAAACTCAGTGTTTTAAAATGAAGACAGGTCGTACCACATCACTTGAGTTCAGCAGCAAAATCACCACCAGAAACTTATCTATCCTTCCCTTGGGGCACTGGTGGTGTAGTGATTTTGAGTTGTCCCCTGACTGCAAGGTTGGAAACCACCAGGCACTCCTTGGGAGAAAGATAGAGTTCTCTAATCCTGTAAAGAGTTAAAACAGTCTCGGAAACTCACGGGGACAGTTCTTCAGTGTCCTATATAGTGTCGCTATGAGTCACACCATAAACTCAATGAAAGGTTTTTTTGTGTATGAGTTTTACCTTTCTTGAATCCTTTATCATATGCATTTGCCCTACTAACCCGGTCTTCCCTTTCCACTGCTGTCCTTAGGCTTCTAAACCTCAAGGTTTCTTTAGTTTCTCTCCCATTTCTAACTTCTTTATGAAAAGGTTTTGTTTGGCCAGGCTTTTGATGTTACTTAGTATCCCTTTTCCTCTCCACAGATTCCCCTAATCCATGGGAGTGGTTATACGTTGGGCTAAGATCCCCATGGTTGGCAGTTTGAACCACCAGCAGATCCGGCAGATAGACTGGG